TTCTTTTCTTGGATAAGAATAATTTCTAAGGAATTCATTTACTTAAATTAGAATTTGCATAAAATTAGTCGAAAGAAATCAATTAATTAAAATTATTTTCTAAAATTCTTCGCAAGAATGAAATTATTTTGATAAATATATTTAAATTTTGTCATGAATAATATAATTCTTTGCAGGAATTCAATTTATTAGCAGGATAAGAAAGAAGTATAAATATTTTTGATGAAAATTAGGAAAAAGTCAGGAAAATAATAGAATGGAATTTTTGTCAGTTTTTTGAAGTTTCTAAAACGAGTTTTTTTGATCGTCAAGTTTAATTTTTCGGTAGTTACTTTTTGCTAGTTTTTTAAAATTATAATTATCGAGTGCGAAGTCTGCAAATGACAATTACGTGCAATCTCTTCTCTCTAAATTTGAATTAGTAAAAATATTTACTAATTCGAATTAGTAACTTACTTTTTGCTTTTGAATTCGTAAATTTTACTAATAAATTGTAATTTCTACTAATTTACTGATGTTTTTGTAAAATCATTATTTAAATTAATATTTTATTTAATTATTTATGAATTTATGATTTTGAATTAGTAAATTTTACTAATAAATTAGTAGAATTTGCATGCATATAATTAATATTATATTAATATTCATAATAATATTATTTTAATTTTTTTAATTATTAAAAAAATAATTGTTTGTTTCGGTTGGAAAATTTTCTTCCATTCTCAATCCAAAATGCAATATTGTATAGGTATATATATAGGACAATATAACGAACATTTAAGTTTTATTTGTTTCTTTTTGTCTCTTTGATTCTCATCGAGAAATAAAAATTAGAGTGAATGAATACTTATTTACAACTGCGGGAAGGAAATTATTGTGATTATTTAGACATGTGCAGCGCATGGTGTTCATTGTTCCTTTCGTCTTTGAATAAATTCAATATATATAGAGAGAGAAATACGGCACTGGCTGTACATTCAGCTTCTTTAATGATTCGCATGTTGCGCACTCGAGTCTTCCGTAAGAAAAGGGAATGCCAAAAAAAAGCTTTATTCACTTGTGTCGTGGGTACTGACACATTTTCAAACTAATTTACATATGTATATATTTTTCTCACCGCTCGTAGAATTTTACTTTTAATTTTCTTTATTTCTTTCGTAAAATGAAAAATCTGAGAATCAAAGAAAAGTCAGGGAAATACAGAATTAAATTTTCGTGGCAACCCTGTCTCGATTATTTTATTTAATTAATTCTTTCTTAATTCTCAGGAATATGATTTTGTACAAAAGAATCGAAATCTTCTATAACTTTTGGCAATGACGTAGGCAGAAATAATATTTCGATAATCTCTCTTTGATTTTTCTTTCTTCTTGACGTGTTAAATCTAAGCTTAAACACCAGGTGAAAAGTTTTAGTTTTAATGAAATCATTTACGAATGACTTGCATAATAAGGGTATTCTTTTCAAAAGTTGAATACACAAAAATTGAAGTTCTCGAAAGTTCTCTTTGTAAAGGTATCTTCATTTTTATGCGTTAGAATTAAAAAAAAAAGAAATAAAGAACTTGATAAACTAAAAAAAAATTTTTTTTAAGCTATAGAATTGGACATAAATTTGAATTGTTGGCCGTTATGAGCTGAATCACTAATTTCAGACAATAGCTTTTTCTGAAGGGAAATCTTGTAAATCCGGTTGACCCCACGTTCTTTTCTTTTCTAGTGCTAATCTTATGCAAATGTCTGAATTCTGACGCAGAGTATTTAATTTTTTAATAGGCTACAGTCAATTCAAATAAGAAAAAGGGGGTTGAATTGTACATTAATATATTTATGGTCAATAATGGCAACCAGTAATAAATTCTCCTCCTTTTATGAGAAATATGTTTTGTTGTCAAGAAACAATAAATAAAAGCAAATTTTTTTGAATCAGAATTGAACAAAAATGGAATTGTTTATTTAGAAATGATATTGGAGATTTTGAAAATATACGATTTTTTAAATTTAGAATTAAAATTAAATCTAAAAATAGTTTTTTTTGATAAAAAAACACGTATTTTCCATTTTTTCTCAAATTAAAAATTTAAACAATTTATTTATTAAGTACATAATTTATTTATTATTTTTAGAAAATTCTATTTTTTTCACAAATAATAATATTCTTTGGTACCTAGAATTCAATTATTTTCAATACAATTTTAGCAAAATTGCGAAAGGATTCAATTATTTTTTTAAATTTTTAATAAAGTTTTTTGAAAGAATTCAATTATTTTCTAAACTTTTAATAAATTCTTGTAAACAATTCAATTTTTTTATAAATAGTAAATTTCTTCGTAAAAATTAAATTTTTATAAATAATAATATTCTTCTCAGGAATTTAATAATTATTTACAATACAATTTTAATAACATTTAATAGTAACATTATTCATTAAAATTATTGACAAAATCGATTATATTAAAAAATTAAAAGAAATTTTTTGTATAAGAATTCAATTCTTGTCCAAACAACAATTTTTTATAAAAATACTGAAAAGAATTCAATTATTTCTGAAAAATTTTAATTAAATTCTTCGCTGAAATTTTACTATTTTCATAAATAATAAAATTCTTCTGAAGAATTTAATTATTTTTATTATAATTTCAATAAAATTTTTTGTATAAATGTAATTATTTTTATAAATAATATAATTTTTTAATATAATTTTTTCGCAGAAATTCAATTATTATTTTTATAAATAATGAAATTCTTCAGAAAAATCCAATTATTTTGCATATAATTCTAATAGATTTCTTCAAAAAAATTTAATTAATTTTCTAAAGAAGACAATTCTTTGCAGGGATTTTCAATATTATTTTCATAAATAATGAAATTTTTCAGAGGAATTTAATTATTTTTAATATAAATTTAATAAAATTTCTCTAAAGAATTTAATTATTTTTCTGATAAATAAAAAAAATTCTTCAGACAAATTAAATTATTTTTGTTATAATTTTAATGAAATTCTTCGCAGAAATTCAATTATTTTTATAAATAATAAAATTCTTCAGAGAAATTTAATTATTTTGGTTATAATTTTTATGAAATTCTTCGCAGAAATTCAATTATTTTTATAAATAATGAAATTCTTCGCAGAAATTAAATTTAATAAAATTTAATAAATAATAAAATGCATGGCAGGTATTCAATTATTTTCTTGAATATCTAATAAAATGTTTTTTTTAATAAATTATTTGAAAATTATTTAGCGAATTGAAGTTTACTTAAAAATTAAAAAAATAATTAAATTTTAGAAGAGAATCGTTGGCAACTTTGATAAATAATTGAATTTCAAATGCTTTCAAATTGTAATTTTAAATAATTCGAATTAAAAAATCTAATGAAGTTGGTTTTTTGATGAATTTTTTAAAAATTAGTTGAATTTCTGAATTTGTCTTTAATTGAAATATTTTCTAATAATCAAAATTTCGTAAAATTTTTCTAAAAAATTATTAAAAATAATTTATTTAGAGAAGAATTTTAATTGAGAATTCTAAAAAATAATTGAAATAAAATTTTGAAAATAATTTTTGGAAAGAATTGATACTCTAATAGCAATTCTTATAAATTATTGAATTTTAAAAGGTTTGATATTTTAAATTTTTGAAAATTTTAAATTCTATGATAAAATAATAATTGGTAAAAAATTGAGTATTTACTTATTTAAAAAATAATTGAATATTTATTTATTTAAAAAAATAATTAAATATTTATTTATTTTAAAAAATAATTGAATATTTATTTATTTAAAATAATAGGTAATTGAAGTTTCGAATAATTTTACAATTTTGAAGTTGTTCACAAATAAATGTATTTCAAGAAACATTTTATTGCTTATCTAATCATTTTTTAGAGTGAATAAGAATATTCTCTAGAGTCGGGGAAAAAGTCTAAATTCTCTCCGGAAATCAGGGGAAAAATCACATTTTTCTGGCAAGCCTAGATAATAAATTTGATAACCATTTTCTTTTTTGCTGTAGAAATAGGAAAAAAAAATCTTGATTACACATATTTGTATATTAAAGTGTGTTTAATAATTTTACAGCAAGTCCTTGAAGTTGTTTGGCAATTTACACTCGATTACGAATCTCATCAAGGTGGACCCTCGCCACCTTTTCTCTAGCGCTTCCAAGAATTTGCAGAAGCCAGGTGCATTCACATCTTATCCAAAGTTTGTTCGGCGTCCCATGTCAGCAAACTCTCCGGGCACAATATATGTATATAGGAAGCTCTCTTCCAAGTGCTGCCTTGAGCTTTATCGAAAATTTGCAAAGCATGGCTCGTGCCAAAGGAAACTGGCAGCTGCTCTTATACTTGAAAACTTGGAATAGTCACAGTCTCGCCTCTTTTGATGGTTTTCGTTTCCCTTGTCTCGTTTGTCCCTCGCCTTCTCTTCCTCACGCACATTGAATCCATATGTAACTTTTTTGGAAAAATTTCCAAAGCCCCGGGATTAGGACTCACTCACTCACACAAATACTATTCATATATTCGACCTATCCCTATACAGATTGCAAGAAGACCGGTCAAGTATAGAACACGGGCACGCGACCTTAGAAAATTATTATTCACATTGCTGTGGTTTAAGATCCCCAGCAAATGCAGCTGCGCCAAATGTGTGTGTGTATATATAGGACAATGATTGACATTTTCATGATGTTATTCTCTTCTTTTTTCAATTTTACTTTTTTTCCCCTTTTTTTTCTTACTTTTAACCTCTTACTTTTGGGAAGGTGTGTGAAACACCTTTCGGGTTATTTCGTTTGTTCAATGCACCTTATCCTTTAACATGCACTTTGCCATTGTATTGCACCCTTTATTGGACTAACCAACTATTTTCGATGTACCACGAGAGTTATAACTCTATTATGTATATACTTTGACGTTTTACGCAAACTATTATATGTATTATGCTAAAGAAAGGCAAAAAAAATTATTTTTCATGTATTGTTTGTTTATTTGCAGATGGTCTGGTGATGAAGTTTGTGTATACATTCAAGAGACGGTGTGGATGTAACCTGTCGAAAGATTATGTGAGTTTTTATTATTTTTTTCTTTCGTGATTTCAATATTCTTTGAAAATTTTTTTCTTTGATGTGAAACCCTTTTTTTTGGTGAAATGACATGTTCGATGAAACTTCGAACGACTGGAATTGAATGAAGGGGGAATTTTAATTTTGTGCAAGGAATGGAAAATATTATGGGTTTGAATTTTTAAAGTGAGAATAGTTTTAATCAGGAATCGTCACGAAAATTTAGTTTTGTTTCTGAGTTGATACAAAATTAAAAAATTGAGTTAAGTTTTTTTGCGACTCGAAAATAAATTAAAAAAATGAATTTTGTTTCTTGTCGACTCGAAAATAAACGAAGAAAATCAATTTAATTTCGTATCGACCCAGAACTAAAGATTGAAAAACGAAATTTTGTTTTTGAATTTTTATTTTCTTGCTTGAAAGTAAATATTTGAGTTTCTAAGACATTAGTTTCGAGTTAACAAGAAACTAAATTATTTACTTTTAAGCAGAAAACAAAATATTTAATTAATTAATATTTCGTTTTCTGTATAGTGAGTTTAGTGTTTGTGTGATTGACACTAAATATTTAAATTTTTTAAATTTCAGTTCCGAGTCCAGAAAAAATTAAATTCAGTTTAATTTAATTTCTAGTCGACATATATAGAACTAAATTTAGTTTTGAGTCGCCACGAAACTAAAATCAGTTTGTCAATTTAATTTCGTGTCGGCTCGAAACAAAATTAAAAGCAAATTTTTAATTCAGTTTTTGTTTCAGCCTCATTTCCTGATTTTAATTCTTAAATTTGCGGAGAAAAGAGATTTTTGCGAATAAAAATTTATGCAATACATTAATCAATGCAAGGAATAATTTTAGAAAAGCAACAAAAGATTGTCTTAAAATTGGTATAAATGAAACTTCTTTGCATCCTTAAAACAACATTTAAAAGTATTTAATTATTTACAAATTTTTATTTATCTTGTTTTAATTTAAGATTTTTCTCAAATTAAAATATTGTTGAATAAAAATTTAGATTTACTTAATAAACAGCGTCGTTAAATATAAATAATACAGTTTACTGTCTAAGTCTGAATTAGTAATTTTTTACAAATTAAAGAATGCTGTTCTTTTACCAATTAAATTGTAAGTATTTTACCAATTTTTAGTAGAAAACTAATAATTTATTTGTGGAAAGTTAATATTTATTTATTTAATTTAATATTTTATTTAGAAAGAATTTTATGTAAGTAAATGTATTTAAAAGTAAAATTAGCAGTTTTCTACTAATAATTAGTAAAATCCTTAAAATCTAATTGGCAACAAATCCGCAATTTTTAATCATTAGAAAACTACTAATTCTGATTCTGAATGTTGCTTCGCAACAGTTTTAATTCGTTTTTTATCTCAATTTGATATCATTATAGGAGAACTGAGTTTTTGAAAAATTCAATTAGGAGATTAAATTAATTACATTCGGTTAAATAGACATTTTTCGTCTGCAGAATTCTTGAAATAGTTGCAGTTGCAGATTTAATTCGTTGATTAGTATTTTTCGATTAGTCTTTTCGTTCGTTAACTATTTCATTCTTTTGGAATTTTTTTTTCATTTCGAAAGAATTAAGTATTCTTCGGTGTGAAAATTAATAAGTACAAATTTCATTATGGAAAGTTTCTTCAATTTGAAATTAGATTTAGTTTGGTTGTTTCGTTCTTCTAAATATTGTTTATTTCGAAAGGATTAAGTATTCTTCAATTTTCGGTGAGAAAATTAATAAGATCGCAAATTTCTTTATGGAAAGTTCTTTTAATTTGAAACTAGATTTTTAGTTTGGTTGAGATATTCTTGTAATTCTTGCAAAATAAGGATTTGTTATTATACTATTTCAATAGATATTCTTTTTGGTGCTAGGAAAAACGAATAAAATATAACTTTTACTATTTTTATAATAAAATCTAAATTGTTTGGAGTTTTTGCCAATTTCTGGGAAATTTTTACTATTTTTGGAGTAAAATTCATTATTCGTTCGAAGTAAATTCTATATAGTAAAAATTATTTCGGACGTAGTAAAATCTACTCTGAAAATAGTAAAAATTTAGACAATTATTTCTGTCAATTTTTACTATTTTCGAAGTAAAATTCACTATGCGCTCAAAGTAAATTCTATGGTAAAAATTATTTTGGACGTAATAAAATTTCCTCTGAAAATAGTAAAAATTGTGACAATTGCTGGCAATTTTTACTATTTCGGAATAAAATTCACTATACGTTCTGACGTAAATTTTAGTAAAAATTATTTCCGAAGTAGTTCAATTTACTCTGAAAATAGTAAAAATTGTGACAATTTTTGTCAATTTTTACTATTTTCGGAGTTAAATTCACTTTTTCGAAAAAAATTTCAAAGTAAATAAAAGTTTGAAGTAAATTTAAAAATTAAAAATTATTTTATACGTAGTAAAATTTACTCAGAAAATAGTAAAAATTGTGACAATTTTTACTATTTTCAGAGTGAAAATTTAAAATTAATTAAAAAAATTAGAATTAAAATTGAAATTAAAATTTATTTTTGAATTTTAATTTTTGCAAAATTTTAAATTTACTACGTTTGAAGTAAATTCAAGTAAAATTTACTCTGAAAATAGTAAAAATTATTACAGAAATGCGCAGAAATTCGAGACAGTTTAGGTTTTAGTTTGTAAATAGTTAAAAAGCTAAAAAGTGACTTTATATTTTTTTACGTGTATAAAAATATATCAGGAATGTAAATTTCTCTTCGTAAAAAATACAATTGAATAAATTTTCATCTCGAATAGGAAATTCTTGATAAAAATTAACAGAGTTTGTAGAGAAACTAAAGTGTTTAATTCGTCCCCCGAGGACTGATTCCACTTGCTTCTTACATAATTATAATCGTGATTCCCGTGAAATTCTCCCCCTTTTATTAACCGAGAGAAAATAAAATAAGGGAGAGAGAGTGACGGAATTAGCCATTTGAATCGTAACAAGTGCTTCTGAAAAGCAGATCTTTTTCTCGCACTCTTCATCAAAGAATCTTGTTAATCGAACTAGGAGATCCCCATTTCTGATAAATTTCCGACCCTTCAAAAAGGGCATTTTATTCGATACGCACATTTACTCTATTAGATATACTTAAGTCTATTGGGAATTATTAAATGGAAACCTTCATCTCTATATGTTTAGAACTAGATAGTCGGCGAGACGGTGATAATCGTGGAATAAAGATTTGTTCGAGATTTTCGAAAAACGACGAGGAGCTGAAATAAAAGTGGAGTGAGGACGCCCGTAGGGAGCAGTCGAGGATAGAAAGGAAGTGGCGAAGGGGAAGAAGCGAATATCCTTCCTGTTTTCCCCTTCCCGCGCATCAGCAGCTGCTCGGATTTGAGCACGTGCTACAACCACTGCGTTGCGATGCTTACGTAGGTATAGTCCACATATATATATATTATAAATATAAATGGTAGGTGAGACACCGAATAGGTGCCTTATATATACATAGTCACGTATGTAAGCACGCGTTTACAAATGCTTAAGTGGTGCACCCTGCCTTATAGAATATTCATGTTGGAAATCTTGATATTCTAGATCTCGGCAATTTTGTATATATATGTAGAGATTGCAGTGGAGACTCCACTTCCCCTGACACAATATTCTTCAATAATTCTTCTTCTTTTTTCTCTTTCTCTTTCTCTATTTCTCTCTTTTTTCGACTGAGGGTTATTCAATTCAAGGAAGAATGGGACAGACAACAACGCAACTCCGAGGGGTACAGAGTGGAAAAAAGTGAAACCTGTATCGTGAGCTTTTTTCACCAACTCTCCTCACTCATGACGAATTGTGTTATTTTTCCCCATATTGGTCACGGTGGGGGACAGTTTTCAAAAATCATTATTGGGGACTAGGACAACTATTGGCTTCTTCTTGAAAATAAAAATTATAGGTTTCTGGAATTCTTGTGTGCACCAGGTCAAATATGGGGGATACACTACTTGAAGTGATGAGCGTGCAGGGGAGATTTATTTTCGAATAGTGGACACCTTGGATTTTTCGAAAATTCGGAATATGGAGTTTTGATTTTTTCTAGTTTTGTTTGAAGGAATTTTTAATTTTTAATAGAATTTATTTTCTGAAAAAAATGTGAATTTTCTCTGAAATTTGTTCATTAGAATATTTGTTTATCAAATTTTGGAACAATATTATTTTATACAAGTTTCAGATTCAAAATTCAAAAAAATCATTTAGGTATTCATTCACCATTTAATGATTATTATTTATTATTTTCAAAAACATGAATTAAATTCTTTGAAACAATTCTCAATATTCTTCATAAGTAATAAAATTCTTGCCAAGAGTTAAATTATTTTTAGTACAATTTTAATTAAATTCTTGGCAAGAATTCAATTGTTTTCATAAATAATGTAATTCAACGTGGGAATTTAATTATTTTCAATCTTCAAATTTTAATGAAACTGTTAAAGAAAATTGAATTATTTTCGTAAATAATAAAATACTTCAGAGAAATTTTATTCAAATAAGAGAATTTTTTTATAATTAACAAAATTTATTATTTTTATGAAAATAATTGAATTTATGCGAAAGAATTTTATTATTTATGAAAATAATATTGAATTTATGCGAAGAATTTGATTAAAGTTATAACCAAAATAATTGAAATTATCTGAAGAATTTTATTATTTATGAAAATAATTTAATTTTTGCGAAAAAAAAGAATTTTATTAAAATTATTACCAAAATAATTGAAATTTCTCTGAAGAATTGTATTATCTAAGAAAATAATTAAATTTCTGCGAAGAATACTGCTAAAAAAAATTCAATTATTTTCATAAATAATAAAATTCTTCAGATATATTCAATTATTTTGATTATAATTTTTCAATCAAATTCTTTGCATAAATTCAATTATTTTCATAAATAACAAAATTGTTGTTCAAATATTTTCAATTATTTTTAATATAATTTTAATAAAATTATATCATTTCTTTA